TTTACGGAGGTTATTTTGGGGTTTTCGTGCAAATGCTGGGAGAAGAAGGTGAAACATGGGACATGTTTAAGGTTGCCAAGGACGAATTTCCGGAAGATAACGAGATCGGAGAGTACGATGGATTCGTGATCACCGGTAGTTGCAATGACGCCCATGGAAACGATTTATGGATCTGTAAACTCGTAGCTTTGCTGAAGAAACTGGATGCAATGAAAAAGAAGGTTCTGGGCGTTTGTTTTGGCCACCAGGTATTTTCTTCACGCAATTTTCATTTCATTCAGTTCCCTGTGTATTTGAAATACCTATATTGACAGCTGTCCCAATTTTCTCGTTTCAGTGTTAGCTTAGCTTTAGGTTTGGCGGTTGTCTTTTTTATAAAGGGGAATGCATTTCCACACACTACATTATGTTTGATATTTCCTTTATTTTTTTAAAAAAAATTGTTGAAGATTTTTTTTTTTTTTTTTTTTTTTTTTTTAAGTATGCCACGTACTTAAGTCACGAGAACTTTTGAAAAGTAAAAAATTTACTTGTAAGATTAATAAATTGCTTTTGAACATGTTTCGATAATTTTTAACAATCTTCTATATGATTGAAGGAATATTTAGAGGAAGTTGTCATCAGATAAAGTCTACTACAAGAAATAGAAGTTTTGTCAAACTGTTTGTTTTAGTGGACTGCACTTTCGGTTTTGAGTTTACACTTTGCTTGAAAGGAATAAGTTATTATTATTATTTTTTTAACTGTTGATATCCGGGTCAGTTTGCTCGCATCTCGACTAATTTTACGGGACCCTAAAATTTACGGTCGAGTACATACCTTAGTGGCTCTGAGGGGACTCAAATTTGTGACAATTGGAAAGTAAACCCAAAACCTGACCAATTGAGCAACCCCTCAGGGCTAAAGGAATAAATCGTTGCAATGAGTTTTTGGCCTCCATTATTTTTCATTAAATTATAATTCATTTTTTCTCTTTCTTCTTATTAACTACATATTTTTCAATAAAATAATATTACACGTAAATTTAAAATTTTTTTTTTAATCACACATTCTTTAAAAAATTTAATATTTCTTTCATTATAACGTGGAATAATGGGAACAAACAGGAGCTTAATACTCTAACCTTTGAGCTTATCGACACAAGTTGTTTATTATGAGTTTGTGGATTTAATTTAAAAATTCAGGAAATAAAATAAAAACTAAAGACATTTCTAAAAGGGACTGAATTATGGCTGATTCTATAAATTTCAAAAACAGATTTTGGAAACTAATTGCAAACTGATATGTAAATATAGAGTAATGATCACCTAAACACCGTGTTTAGGTGACCCAATACATTAGTGCATAGTTTTGTTTGTCACTTAAGCACGGTGCTTAGCACCTCGCTTAGGAGATCAAATTGGTGTAAATATATCTTACTATTTAATTTTTTTTGGATAAATTATTTATTTCTGATAATTTTGAGGTAAAATAAAATATAAAGGGTGAGAGATTGGGTAAATCAATCATGTTACTTGTACAACTTGGGTAAATTGGGATTGTGTTGATTGTGTCAGGCTTTGGATCCATGTGGTGGTCCAAATGCCCAATGGGTCACGTTTATGCTTTATATACATATGGTTCACATACCATATAGATGTCTTTTTTTGTTATCTAGCATATAAATATTTGGCCTGCCCTAAAATTGTGGGGCTATAAGACCTTTTGATATTTATAATTTGGAAGTAAGTAATTGGTGTATTGTTAAACTAATGTTAGCGTCCGTTTCATTGCAAGAGTGAAATTTGGGTAGAAAGAAAATGAATTATAGAGAATTAAATTGTCTGGATTTATTTTCATGAAAATTGTCAATTAATTGTATTTGATTGATATAATTTTTCACATGAAAAATGTTGAAATTTTGAATCTTTTGATATTCGTTTGACTTTGTTTTCCATGAAAATTGTCTATTAAAGGGAAATTTTTTTTACAATTGTCCATNGAAAATTGTCTATTAAAGGGAAATTTTTTTTACAATTGTCCATAGAATATGTTTTCATTGCAAAAAAAAAAAAAAAAAGAAAGAAACTGGAAACCATTTTCCCACCAAAGTGGTGGGAAGACCAATTCAACAAAAAAAATGGAAAAATGGGACACGTGGGGGGTGAGAGGAAAATATTTTCCATAAAAAATTTTGGTTATCAAACATGGTAAAAGTGGGAAATAAAATTTCAATTCTATTTTCCATGGAAAAAAAGGACATATCAAACAGGCTCTTAGATCATCTAATTTTCACAATGAATTAGAAGAACCCATAAAAGAGATTCTTGTCATATTTCTCGATACTTTCTAATATACTGCACCTACCGCGTAAACGTGAGGATAATTCAAGCCATTCCTTTCTTGCGCGACGTCGAGCACTATTTTATGTTTTTTTCCTATAAAAATAATATCTTTAGTATAGAGATCAGCATGGTACATGATATGTCCATTCACTTTTGATCCCCATTGTCTTTAAATCTTAATGTTTCGGCATATGGGGTAGGTAGTGGGGTTGGATGACGAATTTTGTGCTGTCCAACACACCCCGCACGTCAATTTTGAATTTTGACAGGTAAAATTTTGTTTTGTTTTGTTTTGTTTTAGATTAAGAATTAGAATCTGTCTGATTTCACTGCCTTTTGGATTAAAATCAACAATAGTGCCGTTGGAGGGTACCACTCGTGAGAGAGTTAGTAAACAATGGTAAGCTGTAACGTTTTAAAAATTGTTTTTGCCATTTATTTCAGCGCCCCCAGACATGGCCTTAATCTACTCTGACTGAAAGTTTAGACAGAGATTGGTGATAATGATGACATGGCGTGTTTTGATTTGCCAGTTTTTTTTTATATTTTTCATTTTCTCATGAATGAATGACAAGTGTGCATTGTCACCAATCCCTGTCTAAACTCCATGTTAGAGTCGTGCACTGTACTATTGTACATTAAATCCTTGTTCGACAACCATTATTTTCACTCTTTTTTCTATATATTCATTTTCAATCACACGTTCACACAACAAAATATTTTGTATGTAAATTCAAAACTTTTTTCTACTTTTAATCACACATTTTCTAAAAATCACTATTCAAAACTTTATTTTTCCTAATTAATGGTTGTCNGAGGATGAATTGGTGTATCTCAAAGCTCAATTCATGATTCTGGAGCCTAAGGATGGGCTGGTCTCTGTTGACAACTTCAAAATGGTCTCTCTCTCTCTCTCTCTCTCTCTCTCTCTCTCTCTCACACACACACACACACCCACCCACCCCCCGACACTCAGTACAACATAGTTGAACATGTATAAAAAGAGAAAAAGTGATGCATTCTTTGGTCCTTAGTGTAGGGTAATAATGGAGGTGTTAGGTGGGATGAGTCGTTCTTTAGCTTGGCTTGCGCATAGTGAGTCACAAGCATGAGCTGAACGACAAAAATCTCTTATGAGTTGTTTGTTGGTTCGCTTGTGCACGAGGTGAGTGTCTCGTGAGTTTAGTCGTATGGTGGGCATAGTCAAGCCTACAATAGACGAGTCTAGTGACTCGACACATTTAACATCCCTAGTTGATTAAATGTATTAAAATATATTTTCCTTATCTTTTCTTTCAAATGTATTAAAATAAAGAACTCGAAGCATTTGTATTTTTCTAGTTAATAATCACAAACGAATATCATGTGTTACTTCTTGTACACATGCAATATATAATGTCATTGACTTATAACTTGTGCCGAGCAGTCTGATCATCTTGTAATGGAGTGATGTCCAGTAAATAGTTGATGAATAAGGATTACAACATTTTTTCTTTTTTTTTGGGGCTAGATAATGGGACGAGCTTTGGGTGGCAAGATTGGCCGCGCCAGTTCAGGTTGGGACATCGGAGTCACACAAGTCCATTTACAACCATCAAAGATTTTCACCTCTCTGAAAATGCCTGCTTTCTTATCTGTATTTGAATGTCATCAGGATGAGGTATGTCCCTCCCATTTTACCCAACCCCCGTTTCAAAAATTAGTTTTTGACTCGATGTGTGAAATCTGGCTTAGGTTTGGGAACTTCCTCCAAAAGCTGAAATCATTGCACGGTCGAACAAGACTGGAATTGAAATGTTTACATATGGTGACCATTTTATGGGCATCCAAGGTCACCCAGAGTACACTGAGGATATCCTGTTGAATATCATTGACCGTCTTTTCAGTCGCAATCTCATTGAGGTATAAAAATAAAATTCTAACATTTTGATTCTTCGAACTTTCGGCGATCGATCTTATTCAACTTTTGTCACCTTTTGCATACATGTCCTGTATCTATCTTTTCAGGAGTCTCTTGCAGAAGAGGCCAAGTCCAAGTTGGAGACTAGTGAGCCGGATAGGAAGGCATGGAAGAAACTGTGTACCACCTTTCTCAAAGGGAAATTGTGATAGAAACCTAGAACTACCAAAATTAAAACATGTAAATAGAATGTTCGGCTCTTTGGTTTGAAAACTGGACTTTTGGGCCTTCTATATTGAGAACCTTGTTGTAACACATTCGACATGTTATTAATGTAAGTGTAAAGACATTCCCGGTCAACTATGTTTTCCATTTTACTTATGCAGATAAATTTTTTTATATACATAATTTCTTCTGTGTGGTCTATGGTTATTCAAAGCTTAAGAACTGATCATGGAACTTGAGTTTTTACTGCTCTCAGCCAACATATCCATATAGAACTGGAACTTGCTAATTTCATTACCATAGCTGTGCAAGCAATGCCGAAGAAATTAAAGACGAAATATTTGCACAGGGTCAGCCTCGACAACTTTGAGGTCCTAGGCGGCTAATTAATATGAGACCCTTCAACATGACTTTTTTACAATAGTAGCAATACTCATGAAAAGGTAGAGAAAATACATCAAATGAGCAAGTTGATATCACTTGTCAACCATTGCAAAAAGAATCTTTGATTATATATTAGTTTTTACAGCAACGATATTGATCTCTATACCAATTTTCCTCCTCGGCTCAGCTATTTACATGATCATAATCCCAATAGGAAGCCTATTATAACTGTATTTAAGGTATGTCTTTAGCACAGTTTCTCCAAGAACTAGTCAATCCAAGGTAAGAAAATTTGTCTCTTTTATGTTGTTTTAATAGGTTTTGGCAGCTTCGAGTTACCTCTCGTGGATCTCCAGGAATCCTAGCAATGTAATTTCAAACTTTTACACAAGCTCCATCATATACAACAAAGGCTAGTGAGGATGAAAATTATTCTAAAGGAAAGACAAAATTTGAGACTCTGAAAGAAAATCTTAAGTTCCTTAATAGAGCACTAAAACATCCATTACACTGAATAGAATAGAACATAACATGTCAATTTTAAAGAATGCAGCACTCAAATGAAAATAAAAGTCTATTCCCAAAAGACATGCATAAATTCCTATTAGTCTAGAATATGAATCAGTAATGAAGTACCAAAAAGCCATGAAAAAATAATCCCTATACAATAAAAGAGACAGTTTTGAAAACACTGTTCACACTTTCGTCCGATTAAACGCCGTCGTTTTGGTTTTTTTTTTTCTTCTTCTTCAGTTGATGCTGGCTTTTGCTCTGCCTCGCNTTTAAATGGAAATTTTCACGAAATTTCATTAATTCTAATAGAAAATGACAACTAAAATTATTTGTCTAAATCTAATGAATGAGGGCAATAAAAATAAATTATCAAATTTTTTTTTTTAAAAAAATTAAACGGGATAGTAAATGGGACAAGGGCTCCACCCCGCCCTAAACGGGGCGGAGAATTGCTTGGCGGGACGGGAGAGGTTGCCCCGACCCCGCCCCGTTGCCATCCCTAATTAACAGATAAGAATCAAGAATTCTAATGTTTTTAGCATTACCCATAATTTGTATTTCAGAAGAAAAGAATGAACAGTTTTCGAGGGAAATTTTATTATTTTTAAATGGATTGACCGCATAAATTAAATAACCAAATAAGAAACACAGGGAACATCTATTTGGGTTTGTTAATAGGACAAATCAGTGTCCTAAGCAAACTATGAAGAAAATGGAAAACTAACAAACCTTTTTTTTTTCTCTCCTTCGACCACCTTTTTCTTCCTTCTTGGCATCGTCCGATGGTGGTTATGGCCTTTTCCTTCTTGGAATCCTCCAGTGGCAGCAGTGGTCCGGCGGAATCGAAGAGATTAGCTCAATAAGTAAATGCTTTCTTTTTAGGCTTTGGATCGGGTTATGAATGGATGTGGGTCCTTTTTTTTTTTATGAGGCCCCCAAAAATTTGAGGCCCTAGGCCATGGCCTAGTTGCCCTTGGGTCAGGGACGGCCCTTCAGAACTTCCTGTTGCAATACAAAGAGCAGCTTATATCATCTTGTTATGAAGATATTGATGAGAAACTCAAATGTAAAAGCGGAAAATTTATGGGGCAACACTTGAGCTAGGAAAAAACAACAATGTTCCTTTGGTTTTCAATGTCTATATGAACATGAAAAGTGATGCCGGATGCAAAAGGAGAATTGTAGGAGGAGAAAGAAGAATAGGGGAAGAGGAAGAGAGATTGGGGGAGAATAGCAATTATTTCATTACTTAGTCTTGAGCTTAATGATTGGACCTTGAATTTATTACTGAAAAGGTATAGAATCACTTTGAATGTGAAGCAAATGTGTTGGAAAAACAATAGATTAAAAATACATCAATTAATCTGAGATGAATAATGGTCTTGCCAACCACTTGGCTTCATATTAATGATGGAGTCATCATCCAGCAAGCGCCCACCCCATATTTAACCACTCCTTCAAACTCCCCAACTAGCCATACAAGTGAAGAAAATGTGAGTATTCAACTCAATCAAAGCACAAGGCCGCATACCGAAGAGACAGGCGCCTTTCTATATAAGGTTCGCCCTAATGGACAAGGCATAATGGGAAGCTCGCCAAATAAAAAAATTGAACTTTGGGTGGCAGTTTGAGACCCCACAATTCCTTCCACCAAGGTGTCCGCACTCAGCCCTTCATTACCATTAGATCCAGCAGCAGAAGGTGATACCCACACCTCACAGAATACTGCCTTTCGCCTCATAATGCCTGACTTTCAACTTTCTTTTTCGGGATAGCCAATTATCAGAGGGAGTCAGGGAGTGAATGGATAAAATCACTATCTATGGGTACTATGTTACCAGGCAACAAGGTCTCATTCCAGCCTCTAGCTATACTAAACTAATCAATTCCAAATTCCCATGCGAGTTCGTAATTTTATTTTTATTTTCAAAAAAATTAAAACAGAATCCATTCAAGACCTTGACTGTCTATTTATTATACATATATGCCACGTAGACAACAAGCCTTTCAACTTGCATCCTACCTAGATGGCAACCATAGAATGCATTGGAGATGCTCTTGATATGGGTGTGTTCCAGCCAGCCAATAATTTCTTATTTCTTCGTACTTCCATTCACAAACAAAATGAACATCATGTACAAAAAGGAGCAATACGTCAACATATTTACAAGTTCCTCATGAGGGGATTGTAATACAACTCCAGACCTACATATACATTCACTTTATGATAAAACATTAAGTTTTGACAATCTGGTTCTACAACCAAAACAAACAAGAAAGCCTATATATGATACCAATGATACCGAGAATTATGTGTACAATCTCACATAAAAAGTTGAGAGATATTCCACAGGTGTTTCCAGGTTATCAATGCCTTGCTCTAATCGCAAATGGTACTCAAGTAACTGCAGGAAACATAATTTCTATCTTACCGACTACTGTTCAGCAGTCAAGACCAAATTGTCGCCATTACAAGTCGTCACGGCCTTAGCAACAGGTGTCATATTATCTCCACCATTGCTCTGCGAAGAGTAAACCATAAAAGGAACCGTAAGTAAATAGATACCTCAAACGTTTATCATTATAATTTCAAGGAATCAGGATAAAATTTGTAACAGAGTACAACTTTCTGTTCAGAGGATACGTACAAGTTCACTAGCCTTCGGAGTATGGTGTTGGGCTCCAACTGGAACTTTAGAAAGGTCTCTCAAGACTCCCTGCAATATTTAGAGATTCAAAACAAGTAGACAAGAAAAATGAAAATTTGGAAATATTCTTCCTTTTTTTGACCCAATAGAAGAAAATGACATAACTTAGATTCTTCAGAAATCAATCACATAAAATAAGATAAATTGCATCTATGTCAGCAACGTGTCACAGATCCCAGAATAAAGATCGCCACATGCAACACATAATCTATTGTTGTTTCTTAGTCAAACAAAGAACCCAACGAACAGCTGAAGAGAAAAGGCTAGCAAAAGAGTTCACAGTAAATAAAATTTTTTCGGGTTCACACTCAAATAGATAGGTATAATCAGATAGAGAACGAATTCAATCAAGCATACATGCACATATTTGACCAACAGGCTGTAGAATAAAAGAGAGCAGTGGTAATCAAATCACAGTTACAGCATGTACAGAAAAGGAATTTGTCCATTTTTTGGGGTCTCAACGGGCGTGGAAACACATAAGAACTCTTGAATGGAAATGGAAAAGAGATGTAACNCGTTGGTGGTGTGAATTATCTAATAATGATCTTTACTTTTCAAATTTTATTGGAAATTATGCTCTTTTTTTTTTTTTTGGATGGCCGTGGATGTTCGGGCCAGCTTGCTCGCACCTCGACGAATTTCACGGGGCCCTGAAGTTTACGGCCGGGTACTCACCTCAGTGGTCCTGAGGGGACTCGAACTGGAATTTTGCTACTTGTACATAAAAAATGTACAAAATGGAATACATAATATGATGTAGAGGGAAAAGATTAGATGAAAAAGTTGATTGTGTTTTAACTAACAAATGATAGAGTGCCCATATGGCCTTATGTAAATCTTGATGTACATGTAGCAAGATCCAATGATTCAAGGCCACTATAAACAACAATGAGAGAACAAATCGTCAATATTAATGTAAGCGGACCTTGTTGGCCCACTTGAGACCGCATGCATTGCACAACGTCCTCGGTCCATCTGGTCCACGTCGCATCATAGGGGTTGACTTTGAGCTTATTCCACAATGTCTACATCTGTGAAGAGGTAAAATGAAACTTAATTCTTAAAAGTCAACAAAGACAACAAAAGCTAGAGTAAATATCTATACAATAATGCTAAGTTCAATCATTTAATCTCCTAATACTAGAATAATAACGAGGAAAGAAAATAAGAAGTTAATGGTTAACTAGATTCCATCAAGTAACAGAACCAGAAAAGTTCTGAAAGAATGGCACTCACAAAGTTTCATGTCCTTCTAGACCAGGACTTCCACTCCAGTCTGCAGATGATGGGCCCGGTTCGTCAGAAAGTGACTTGGATGATGTAAACTGACCTTTCTTACGCTGCATCCTGACAGATTGCACAGTGTATAAGTGAAAACAAAACGAGATTTGAAACGAACAAGTTAATAAGAATTTTCTTGCTAAACATACATTTGTCAAATAGAAAGCGCGTTGGAAACTTTGAAGGTCTAAATGCACATATACTATATTAGGAACAAGAAATTTCTTGATATTTATAATCAGGTTTTCCTTGTCACTGAAAGCTCCCTCGAGATGAATATTACCGCATGTGCAGCTTCCATACGACAAGTGTTTGCCGTGTTATCCATTTTATAAGCATGCAAGTCATGCAACCTACTTCATCCCATTTCAGACTAGCTTATTCTCTGAAATTTGCACATCATATCTTTATTGCAGATGAGTGAATTTTACACGTTTTAAGCATAACCATCGTTATTTGAAAATCCTTCAAAGACGTTCAGTTACTCACAATCAGTTGGAAACTCAACTTCCTGATATGGAACATTGAATGATACACAGAATGATGAGCAGGAACAACAAATTATGAGCATGACAACAGTCCCAAATAAGTGTAATAGGTTAACAAGGGACCTCTCTTGACGGATTGGAATGCCGTGAACTAAATAAGTGTATATTAAAAGTAAGTAAAGAAACACATATCGAACTCATTTCAACACAAAGATAGATACCTATATAAAACATATCCAAAATCTATTCTCACAAAACTAATGTGCTGTAAGAAATATGTATGACATTTGATTCCATCAGCCCAGTGTTATTTTTCATTAGAAGTGAGTAATTTGCAGACATACCAGGCCACTGAATTACTTGCGTTCTTAAACAATATATGTTTATGCAGAGATAAAAAGTCCATATATAAATAATAGAGAAAGTAAACAGAGCAAAACTGAAACATATGCCAAATATGTCTGTCAAAAGGTGAACCAAACATCATGCTCAGTATCGATGTCTTCATGTAAGACAGAAAATTTCGTGCTGAACCAAGTGGAGTGGCAACAAAGTATCAGTTAATAATTGCCCTCTCCAAACTTTCCTATCTTTATTACCTGAGAGCAACTTCCTTGCGCACAGTATAACGAATCTTTTTATCAAAACATCGCTCTTTTCTCTTTTCCCTGAACCGGTTTAAAGAAGCAGCTCTTTGTGGCTGACTTAATCTTCCAGGATATTCGCCCAACCCCTATAGTGAAAGCAAATGCAAAAGTGAAAACAGACAAATAGTGATGCCATACGTAAAGTTTCACTAAATGAGCTGAACCAGGATATATATACCCTCTGGTTTTGAGGAGCCATCCCAGCAGTAGGAATGCCAGTAGGTACTTCATATCCACCCAATAGTAATAACACTGCCTGAACCTGCAAAATCAACAAAGAAGAATCCATTTTTTTATCCTCACTACATTTCTTTCAACTGACAATTGCAAGAGGTTGAACAGGCAGAAAAGAAGCCACAACTCGCAAAATTATTCAAGTGTAAGGCCCGTTTGGCATGGCTTTTGCTTCACGTAGAAGAGCTTTTGGAGGAAGTTATCTTAATTTTTGTTTGAAAACTAATTTTTAAGAGCTTTCTATTCCGGAAGTGCTTTTAAAGGAGGTTACATTGTACGAGCTTCCTACAAAAACTCTTCTAATTAAAAGAAGCACTTTCAAAAAATTAACTAAACGGGTCCAAATCCAACTTTTGGATCACAAAAACTCCTTGACTTTTCAAAAGCCATGCCAAACAAGCCCTATATCTGATTTTCAGTGCCCACACTCATGCAAACACCTACAAGCACTCCAGCAATTCTTCTAGGACCTCATAATTTAAATTATGTTTCATCAAGTACGACTACAAAATTGACCAATTTCACTCCATTTCATGACAACCAAAGAAAAGGATCAATTCTCAAATTCCACCCCGGACCCATATTCTATGTGCATATCTTTGTTAGTCCTTTTTCCCTTTTCCTTCATAAACTTCGTCAAGCATGAACAATCTGAGCGACCAAGCATAGAAAAATATGGGAACAAAAAATAAATCTTTGCATCATCTACAAAGTTAAACCAAAAGAAATTAACAAGCCAAGCTAAATTCAATTGTTGAAGACCAAACTTTTATCATTATTACTGCTCAAAATCAAATCCATAAATTGATAACTAAAAACAAAGGTACCAGTACTTAATATTAAATAGAACAAAAACAGACCTTCTCAGGGGAAACGGAGTCGAAAACATAGACTTCTCCCTGAAACGACAGCGTAAGCTGATCAGAGCCACCCTCCCCGCCAACCGGCGCAACCGCAGAAGTCATATCAGAGCTTCCAGCGTCATAGAGTACAACAGCGTCTACCCCATCCATGACACCACCACCACCCACAGTTTGAAGCGCGTGCGGAGAGTGAGAGTTGCTCGGACCGTCGTAACGGATCTGAGATGGAGGATTGTCAATGGATTTTCCATTAGAGCACTGAACGTCCTCGTCTTCCTCTTCGTCGATGTAAGTTGCACCCTGATGCTCCGGTTGTTGTACGTTATTGCTGCTATTCATGGTGGTCTGTGGTCCGTACATGGAAGCTTGACGATTTTGTCTCTCTTCGTCACGTATTAGACCCTTTTTGAGTAATAATCAATTTGGCCCTCCACCTTCGTATTTAATTTCAATAGAGACCACTAACTCTCAGAAATGACCAAATTGGGTCCAATTAGTGATGGGCCTAGTTTTCACTTAAAATTAGGAGAATTAATGGGTCGCACTGACCCAAATAGGCCCATTTATGCCTAGGCCCTATTCAGCCTTGTGATAGGATCGAGCCTTGTAGGATCTTTTTCTCCAAGGGCTTAGCAGCCATCCCCGTCTCGTCTGTAGGCCACATCAAATATAAGGTCGACCTATGGGGTCAGTTTTAGGCTCATCCATAGGGATATTAGGCCGACGCCTCGAATTCAATTCTGCCCATAAAAATCACACCAACGACCTAATTTTAAGGATGACAACGAGATAGAGCAATGTAAAATCAAGGACTAAAATATTGTTCCCTGCCCTATTGGTGATTTTGAGAGGTAGAGAAGGGACAAAGAGGGAAGTCAAACTCACTCTCTAAATTAAAATATTAATTTAAAGAGTCTCTTATAACATGATTTTAAATATTGACTCTTTAAAATAGAGAGAATCTCACGTTTAAAGAATCTCTTGAAAATGCTCTTACTATATATATATTTTTAAAGAAATCAGTTACTCTAAGGGACTATGTTTGTCATCCTCGCCCTGTTTATATAATGTGAGGGGACATAAAGTGATACATAAATTTCAGAACAATTTAAATTTGTATCTGAACTTACTCTTCTTCATAGATAAAACTTAAAGATTGTGAATCCCTGTGATTGAGTCTAGTAAACTGTACTGTTCACGGCTAAATTAACTCTCATCCAAAGAATATGACATTTAGAACTGCTAATTCTCTATTTAAGCAGGATTCAACAGCACAAAATTATCAAATTATATCTTTTGAAAGGATTCATGGCAGCAGAACAATGTCATGTAATGATGTTCCCATGGTTAGCATTTGGGCACATGCTACCATTCCTTGAACTCTCCAAAAAATTAGCAGCAAAAAACATCTTAGTATCCTTTGTTTCCACCCCAAAAAACCTACAGAGGTTGCCTCCAATTCCGTCCAGTTTAGTCGGCCGAATAAAGCTGCTCGAGATCACAATGCCACTGGTTCCTGGTTTGCCTGAGAACTGCGAGGCAACTATTGACCTTCAAGAAGAGCGAGTGCAATATTTGAAAAAGGCATATGACAAATTAGCCAAACCATTTGAGAAAATCTTGGAAGAAAACGTACCAGACTTGATAGTAGTTGATTTTGCACCACATTTGATCCCAGAAGTTGCTGCGAAATTTGGTGTGCCTACAGCATTTTTTAGTGTATATACAGCTGCGACATTAGCTTACGTAGGGCCACCCGCTGAACTGAAGTCTGGCAGTCGACGAACAAGCCCGGAACATTTTACGAGGCCACCGGAATGGATCCCTTTCCCTTCTCTTGTAGCACACCGGTCTGATTATGCACCAAAAATGATGCGTAACACGCACTTTCCTGACGCATCAGGCGTGTCCAGTGGCCAACGTATAGCCAAAATTGTGGAAGGATGCAACTTTGTCATAGTGAGAAGCTGTAAAGAGTTCGAGGGAGAATACATAAATCTCGTTGAAGAACTTTATCAGAGGCCAATTCTGCCAATTGGAGTTCTCCCACCTGTATCAGACGGAAACATGAGCCACATGGCAATCGATTCGAGCTCGACCAGTACTTTTAAATGGTTGAATGGCCAACAACCCAAATCGGTATTATTTGTGGGATTTGGGAGTGAGTATAAGATGCCCATCGAGCAAATCCATGAATTGGCTTTTGCACTCGAGCTTTCTCAACAACCCTTTTTGTGGATTCTAAGGAAGCCAGAAGGTATAGAAAGTTCAGACTTGCTGCCTCCTGGTTTTGCCAACCGTACTTTAAGCCAGGGTATTGTTACTCTTGGTTGGGTACCCCAATCTGAAATACTCGCTCATCCTGCAATTGGAGCGTGTCTCTTCCATTCTGGTTGGGGTACAATCGTAGAAGCTTTATGTTTTGGACATCCATTGATTCTTCTGCCAATGGTAGCCGACCAAGAACTTAATGCTAAGCTGCTAACAGAAAAAGAAATCGGCTATGAAGTCCCAAGGAACGAAGATGGTTCTTTCAATCGGGACATGGTTGCCAAATCAGTCAGAAAAGTTATGTTGGAACCAGAGGGAGAGCCATTAAAGTTGAAGGCCTCACTCATGAGAAATGTTTTCAACAATCAGGATCTCCATGACAGTTACATAAACATGTTCATCCAGCATCTGAAGAAATACAAAAATTCTGAAGGGCGCAAGCTAGTATTAAGTTGTAAGAATGAAATGTGAAGATATATATTCACCGTCATTCAGAAAGAAATAAGAGTAGAATCCAATTCCCAGTGCAATTGTAGGGGTCCTCTGTTTTTATGCGTGCATTGTGATACTGTAATGCTCTAATATCAAGCAAGGTCAAAATTCAAGCACCCCCATCATAAAGTTTCTTTTGATGTTTATTAGTAACACATGGATAACAGCATTCACATCAAAAGAAAGAACAGCTCTGAAACAAAGACTGCTTAATATCATATCGAGAAAACTAAAACATTGATGAAATTGCAGCATGCTTCTCGAAATTCGTATCAAATATACAACAAATGAGAACAGAAGAGAATGCAGGAAAGATAATCTCTGGTGAATAAATGTAATGGAAATTATTTTTACAGAAAAAAATTACCTGGTTCTCCGCTAAATTTCAAGCAATCTACGGGGCACCATGTGTTTATACCTGTCACATACCTACGATATTATAACTAAAGCTTATGGTGAAAACACAAGAAGAATCCAAAAAGACTACCCAACTTGGATATCAATCTTAAAGGAAAGGGTATATCTTAGAGCAAAGTTTTTCCGAACTGCATATTGAACATTTTTATGTGCTGATAATCATACATTCATATGTAGAGATGGTGTAAGTTCAAAAACTAATAATGGCCAATGCAAGGCATAACAAGTTAGCCACCTGAATCCAATGGTAATCCTTTACTGTGCAAGGCTTCACTATACAATACGAACTTGGTTGGTCATGTAAAAACTTCCATACGTTTAGAGAGAGAATACAGTACACAGCATTTATATGATCACAAAATTTTACAATTCTATAATATACAATCTTTTCTGGGATACAAAATGCAGACAGTGGAGAGAACCTCCTATTCCAAAAAACGTAATGAAATTGAATAGAAATCTCAGAACCAATTCAACAATAGCACAGAAGAACATAGAATTACTGCCGCTTTAGACTTCATATCCAGGGTTTACTTTCTGTTGAACATCCCCATAACTCTCTAATTCTTCAATATCATCTGGACTCCCCAGAAACAGAGGAAGTCTTTGATGTAGCTTAACTGGCTGGAGAGACAATATTCTACTTTTACCATCAGAACCTCTGCCTCCTGCTTGCTCTGCTAGGAAACTGAGTGGATTTGCTTCATAGACAAGACGAAGATGGGCCCTTGGATTCATTGCAATTCCCCCATATAAGAGGGTACGATGGAAATCAGCAACAAGGGAACATATATATCGCGCTGAATATTTCTTCGGGTGTAAGCCCTTGCCTTGTCTTATAGTATCAATATACCGCCTTAAACCTTCAGACCAGTCAAAATACCGTGCATCATTGACAGAATAGATTTGCCCTGGCATAACACTCGGTCAATATTGATTTCAGTCAAATCAATTAGCAGTTTACTTCTATGATTAGATTGACTGAACGTTACACATGTTTCAAATGAGCTGCCATATTAGATGTTAGAAGTTAATAGGAATATCTCTTACCTCGTGGAGGAATTTTAATGTTTGGGTGTGTAAGAACAAAATCTCCCGTTGAGCGGTCCAGGGTGAATGCATGCGTTCCTGACCCAAAACTGGTGCATAGTATAGTAGCTGATGAATAAAGGACATAGGCAGAAGCAACAAGCTTTTTCCCACTCTGAAGGGAATTAAGGGTTGCCTTCTCCTCCACTGGCAGATGATCTAGTTCCACAAGCCGGTTATAAATGCCAAAGATTGTTCCAGTAGGAATAGAGGCATCGATGTTTCGGGAACCATCCAGAGGATCTAAAACCACCACAAAAGGGCCATCATCTGCTAGCCAAACTGGAGCATCATCTTCTTCAGAGGCCATCACAGCAACTTTTCCAGAATTTTTCAGAGAAGATAATACAATATCATTCTGCATCACGAAAAAGTAAAAAAGGATTAAAGACCTCAAATTTATCATAACAATACTCATGAACTTGCATTTGCCTAACTATTATAGACCAGGGTCAGCAACAAGGTGAAATTACATTGTGAATCACGCCATGTCATAAAAACTGATCTGAGTCAACATTTTAAACAAGAAACTTATGAACATCAACTAAAATCTCAACGCAACCAGATTTCTAATCACATATAAGAACATCAACCTCAGTACCAAAATACCAAGAATCCCAGAACTTAGAACAACAAAGTTATATAGATCAAGAATTGAACAATCGAGAAAATAATAATTAAGCGCACCGCAACTATGTCAAGTGGCTTCGGTTTATCTCTTTCAGCGCTGCCAACTGAAACGTTGAAACTTTTCCCAATACTGTAGTTTAAAGGCGAAGCCACAAGAGCAGAGATCCTCTTGCAAGCACACTCCAAATGACTAAACAACACCGCCAATTCATCACTCACATTTAACCCATTTTTCCCAATGTACTCCATCAGTGTACAAATCCCACTACCACTATCATCACCAGAAGCATTGACGTCATAATTAGCCTTGATTCTCAAGTTGAACCCTCCAAGAAAAGATGAAGAGGAAGTCATTCCGTATGTGGGTGGAGCCCAAAGTTTGAATCTTGGCTGGGAATTCTGAAGTTTTGGCTGAAGGAGGTTGGTTCTTGAAGGGTAATTCAAGATGGTGTTTAAGGTTGCGATGGCTGAGTACATATCTGGCAAGCAGTTAAAGAGTGGATGAGTTTGAGGAGAATCATCGGATTAGGTTTTTTTTTAATTATTTATTTATTTTTTCTTTTTATTTGAAAATTCTTCCAGGAAATGATGACGGGAAATGGAGTAAAAAGTTTCATTACTTACTCAACTTTACCTGCTGTCATGTTGTGGTCACTGAACTTTGATATGCTTATGACTGGTCATCGAACTTTCACGAAATTGGCTCCATCCGTCACTCCCCTCACCACCGTTTCTATGGTTTCTTACGTGGCGAGACGGAGTTGCTAGTGTCAAAATGAAGGCATCTTCATCTTGCCACGTAAAGAATCGCATTGTGGATTTGATTTTAACCTGTTGGAAATAAAAAACATAACTCCTCCTCATCTGATCCCTAAACTCCTACCCAAAATCGAACTCGAGAATAACCCTAGAAATCGATTTGCACAAACCCAAAATCGATTGAAGGCTGGATCGAACCCAAATTTCAAACCCAGATTCGATTTGCAACTAGAACGGATTTCATCGAAGCACATTTGTATTCGGACAGGGAAATTTGCAGAAATGGATGGAGCACACAGTGAAGGTAAACCCAAATCTTGCTTCGGTCCGATATGAGTTTTCCCATTTCTGTTCATCTTATAGAAGTATTTTACTTGGGATTTATCAAGTTTATCGAAATTATTCAGCTATTTAGGATTTTCAGATAATCAAACGCTTTTTGTATTGAAATAAACAATGGTGAAACTGTTGATATGGTTTTATTTTATTGTCTCTTTGTAGCTTGGAGATTTTATTTTCCTAGTAAATGGATAAACTTGGTTTCTTTGTGCCATAGCAACTTAAGTTTCTGCATTTTGTGTATGTGATTTCCATCCACTTAGTTTTCAATTTGTTGACAGATTATGAGTCACACCCTATTTTCGTTCATTCCGAGGTTGACATGACTTATGAGGAAGATGATTTGTTGTACGACCGCAATGTGATGGCATCGAAATTGGATTGGACATGAATGAATCGAGAAATGAATGAGTGTGATGCTTGTAGGAGAAGTGGAAGATGATGACTTAGAGTATCCAGGAGTTATTATTGGCTTGGAGTCACGAATAGACTACGATCAGGCCCAACAGCAAGTGCACTGGCAGATCCTTCATGAAGGGAATGACTGGCTTTTATGATTTTTATGGAGTGTAAATTAGATGGTAGTTTTTGTTGTGGATAGTTTAGTGAACTTTATGGTATCTTTTGTGATGGAACGTGCTGTGAATGGATTTTTTGGTTATGCTTGTGAAGGGAATTTTAAGGAGCTTTGCAAATCTTTTATGTCAATTTTAAGGAATTTTATGGCAGATCCTTTTTGTATCACGTCACTGTCAAAAGTGTGTATATATTACTAGTTCCAACCCTAAGAATCATAAGCATTTCAACTATGAAATTGTGGAGGTTATGTCAGATTTTGTTTATGGTGCCGGAATAAAAAGTTGCTTGCTTTGATAAAATTGAAGGATTTCTAAGCCTATTTCAGCGAACAAGCCGGAGTGAGATAGATTCATTTTTAATAGATTTATAGCTTCAGATTTTCCGATAGTTGGATGCAGCTTACTGCGAGAAGCTTTTACATAGCTCTATAACAGTTTTGCAGTTAACTACGTTTCCTTAACTGCTGTTGGTAGTTTTTCTTTGCAAGTAATTTCTGCTCAAATCTTGCCGTAATTTTGTACAACAGTACCTTTACTGCAAGTTCAATGCCGATTACATAAAAATGGATTTTGATAAATACAATAAAAGTTGTGAAGTACAGAAAATTAAAACTTTTTTTGACTTGTTGAAAGACCACGCCTAGCATAAATGACCACTGAACGAAACTGAGAGAAAAAAGTCTTATTTCATTAATTCAATGTTAAGGCATATACATCCTTTTATAATACAACAATGGAACTAAAGAAGGAAAAGAATAAAGAGAAAAATAAGTAATATCCTACAAACAATCAAATTTCCCTACTATGGAAAGATTTAAATATTTTTCCATATACACGGTTTTCTACACTCCCCCTCAAGTTGGACTATAGATATTGATCATATCCAACTTGCTAGTGAAATCGTTGAAACTTTGTTGAGACAATCCTTCGGTGAGAATATCTGCTTTTTGCTCCTTTGTGGGGACATATACCATACAAATGACTCCACCTTTTACCTTCTCCTTGATGAAATATCTATCGATTTCCACATGTTTTGTTCTATCATGTTTTACTGGGTTAAGTGAAATGTCGATGGCGGCTTTATTATCACAATAAAGTTTTATAGGCAATTTTATTGTAACATTCAATTCCTCCAAAAGTTTCTTTAACCATAGTCCTTCACATATCCCTTGTGCAGCTGCTCTAAATTCTGCTTCTGCACTGCTTCTTGCCACTACATTTTGTTTTTTACTTCTCCAAGTAACCAAATTGCCCCATAAAAAGGTACAGTATCCTGATGTTGATCTCCAGTCTTCTACTGCTCCGGCCCAATCTGCATCAGTAAATATTTCTCCTTCCCTCTTTTCATTCTTT